GTAGTGGAAAAAGCAAAGAGGCGTCCGGCATAGAGAGCTCAAAATAAGTACTTCCTTACTTTCTTCATTCGGTCGTCATCGAGCGGGTTCAGCTTGGGCATTCATAATGTCTTCGCGGAAGGCAGTGCTCGCAGCTGACTTTGCTTGGATTGTTGCGCTAGCTGCTTAGACCACATCATTTGATCGTGACTTGCCAGAAAACAGGAGCTGGATAAGACCATCCAGAGTAGAAGTTCCGGCCGAACTATCATGGATGCCTAAGCTAACTCCAGGATGGACCGCTCCACGACAAGTATCGAAGTTCGGAGCTGGAGTTTCTACTACAACATAGTGTTTGCCTTCCATCCTTAACAAAAGGTTCGAGAAAGTCGTGCTCGTATGTGTTCTGAAGATGGTGCATAAATAAGACATCACCACTGTTCATTCAAGTGGGCAGTATCCCCCAGATTATCTGGTTTGCGGTGAGGAAAGGCCCGATGGATGAGTTTGTTGAGAAGCTCATCTATTATGATGCGTCGAACAGCACAGGCCGGTTATAGACATGCGTATATTTCCCGACAGCAACGATCCCACCCAACGAGGCACGATCCAGAGACACATTTCACACATCTCTTCATAGGTCGCTCCGCCCGAGGTTGATGCTGGCTCGTGTTACTCCGTCCCGTTACTAGGAGCTGTCGAAGCTTTTGTTCAAGACACGTTGCTCATGTTCGGTGGATCTTCCAGGCAATGTCGCTCACGTGGACAAATGATGAATGCGAAAGAAGTGGAATTGCCACTTTTTCTGTCGATGGAGAATGACAAGGCCCGGTATTCAAGGGGTGTCTTGGAATCACCGCCTTGGCTGTCAGGCAACCAACCGTCTATATTCGTATATATTCCGGTCCAAGTGTCTCAAGCAAGAGCCCTCCTGAATACCGCCAGGGTGGTTTCTTGTGGGTAGCGTTTATTGGCCTTTTGTTTGGCGTCGTAGTGATAACGTAGAAGGTAGTATGCTTGCGGTGGTACGTAACGGTCACATACGGGGCCGACTCCTTAGACCCTGTACAGGACGAACAGCACAGAGGCTCGAATCGACGTTGAAAATTGAAAATGCTCGACGCCTGAAGAAAAAGTTTCCACCGATTTAAGCAACATTGATTGCTCTTGTTTCATCTCCCACCATGGCACATTGCAGACTCCCTCTATAGCGCTGGAGATATCTCTCAGTCCTTCGTGGAAAATGCCGTCGCTGATGGTTCTGCCTGTCCACTCGCAGAAGAACAGTCCAGCTATTGCTCGTGGTTCGCATGTTGAGATGATAGGTTTCCAGCCGCTTGGCTTTAGCCTGGACTGGGCTTTAAGCTTTTCCTAAATGTCCTTCAGGTACTTTGAATGAGGCGAATAACTTTCCAGCCATTCCTCAGCTTTCTGAAGTTATAGATAGAGCCGAAACTCTTTCAGCTCCCTGTTCTTCACTGAGTGTAATCCGGGGCATATACTCCCATGGGGAAACAAGCACCTTTAGCGGGTGATGCCCGATCCCAAATTCGAAAGCTTCTTTCTGGCACTGGGCTTTAAAGTTTAGTCGTACAGTCTGCCTTTTGAGGGGCTTTGACATTGGAGTGTTCCCTTGGGTGTTCTGCCCTTTTTTGGGGGAGGAATCAACAGGTTGTTTCGAGCCATCAGACACCTCATCTGACAGGGTGAACTGGAAGATCTCAAGAAGGATCTTCTTTGTGCAGTGACCGATAGATCGTGGGGTCTTGGGATAGAAACGGTGTCCGAGATGTCGAATGTGCGAGGTACTATGCTTCCAGCGTAATCGATACATCATTCCACCAAAAAAGCAACTGAAGTGAGTATGAGGCCTGCCCCTTGCTTTAATGGCCATTTCAGTGATGCATATTGACCATGAAAGGCGCGGTTGACGGCGGGACCAAATCGACAATCAACTTTTTGATGATGTCCATAACTGCCTCTGTCCAAGGGCTGCCCGACTTCCTGTTCGACAAGTCTCTGGAAAATTAGGCATAGATCTGGCCTTCGGGTACCGTAAATATTGCAGCATCATCCTAGAAACCACAGCTGGCTAAATGCGATTCGTCACTGCTTCGTTTATCCATGGATCAGGTTCCACCTTCTGGTGTCCGGCTAAGCTTCAAGCGAAGCGATATCTCGGTGATTTATAGATGCACCTTTCAAGGGGTCTTCGCGGTGCAGATCTCAACGTTTGTCTCTGCGATCCTTTTCTGTGCTGTAAGGATTGCTGATTTCGGGACGGAGCCAAATTGGAGGTTGTTTCAGGGTCCCTTGTTGGCCAAGCTCCTGATTCCCTTCGCAATTGACCACTAGTTTTTGTGGTGGCTGTAATGTACGCACGCGCGCATTTTGTCACTATCTCTCTATAGAGACAACCGTCAGTCAGTTAATGCCAATAGCGATATGAGTTCAATACTCAAACCCACTTGCGGAGTTGTTTGATTTACCCTCCTAGCAATCTCTTCGTATCTTGGTTGGATGTCAAGGGAACCCGAGTGAGAGCCGTTGCTGGTCTTGGACATAGTCTTCAATCCGAAGGCACTGGTGAGCGGGCGTGGAGATTTCCAAGGTTGATATAATAGCTCATATAAGCAACACACTGGATGTATTGGAACTCATCAGATTAGTATGAATGCACGCGGATGGCAGGGAAAGAGCGGAAGCGAGGAGTCGTAAGCAGATGACGAATGAGAAAGGCATGGGGTAGTAATGTGTAAGTGACCAATAACAGGGATCGCATGAGCCTTCGGGTGTGATGATGGGAGCTAATACCTGAGAATAAATAACAATAAACGAATGAAGCAGGCAGACACTCAAGCTGGGAATTGCATGGGAATATGGAGGAGAGAAGAGAGGAAAGAGAGGAAACAGGAAGAGCAACCAAGGTAACCTCGGAGATGACTACCCACCTTCCTAACTGGCTTTATAGAGTGTACTTGACAAGAAAGGAAGGAGCGAAGGAACGAAGGAGGTTCTGCTATTTCTGTACAATAAATGGCTTGAAGGTCTCACTAATAAGGCACCAAGGCATCTGTCTCTTCAATACCTACCCTAGGTAGGTATTTGCTCGGGCTTACTGGATAAGTAAAGTTTGACAAGGTGTGAATGCTGGGAGAAAGGTGAATGCGGCTGACCATATTGCGCGTCTTGCCATGTGTGCGAGCATCGTTTATTAAAGCAATACACACCGCGTTTGCATTTTCCACAATCTAACCTGACGAACTTGAAAGGGAGCGCTGTCCCCGATGCCAGCGAGACGATTTAAGAATTCGAGAAAGCCACCGCGCTAATTTCAATGAGTACATGTTGACGGCGGTGAAAATGAGCAGCTTCAAGGACCCGAGCGTTTGAAGAGGAATGGGAATTTCTAGGTCTGAGATGTTTAGTTTATATTTCAGCTCTTGTCGGAAACAGAAGTCAAAGCAAGGTAATAATCTAACTTGAAGTCATTGTTCGTACAATTCGAGACTCGGAAGACGGGATGGTAAAAACAAAGGTAGCAAAAAATGCTCACATGCCGATTTGAACGACAGACCTCGTGATAGACTAGACAATACTAGTCACGCGCTCTACCAACTGAGCTATGCGAGCTGGTATATATAATGTTTTCACTAATGAGTATATATTCTACTTATTCCATTACTATCTAGGCATAATCGCTTTCTTGGTACGTCTAATGGGAGGCATTCTGATAACTCGCGAAGATAGTTGTGCTAGTTTGTCGAACACTACAGGTACCGATCAAGTCCTTCCAAGGTCCGGGTGACACAGAGGTCCTGATCGGTTTTTTTTCATCGCAATGGAATATCTTCAATATGGGGACCTTGTTATATATTTATATATTGTACTAGACCAATCCTTTCGGAACCTGAAGCAAAAAAAATATAGCGGTTCAAATGCTAGTAACTCCAATAATTATGCTACAAGCTGATTTTCTCCATCAGGTCTGAATACTTGGAACCTTGACTATCTGATATTGTCCGAATTGATCTGATATACCCACTGGAGAGAATGGCCTCCGAAAACAACCGTACAAAAGTCCCGATGCGGACTTTTTAAGTGGGGCCAGCCCTAGAAAAATGTGTCCCGCCCCATATATCACAACCGGCCAAAATATCTTCAACGAGACGGCCGGCTGGCCCAATGGCAAGGCGCTTGACTACGAATCAAGAGATTGCAGGTTCGATCCCTGCGTCGGTCACTTTTTTGCCTTTCTGGCTTTCTTTTTACCTCATTGTTGCCCAGGAAGTGGTCAGAATTGCCGTTGGACTGCATGCATAGTAGTAGGTAGGCTAGTGCGGCCGAGCGACTCTTAAGTTTTTGGGGAGCGAGTCGACATAAAGTCGAATCATGAAATCTGAGGTATATTCAATTACTTTTCGATACATGCAACGTTAAAACCAAAAACTTTGATATTGCACAGGCATGGGCCAAACTATCAACATATCAGGAAACTCGCAAGCTTAATTATCCAGCTCCCTTCTACACTCGAACCTAGCTCATTTACTTGGTCCTTCCATTATAATTAACACAGTGCGATGATGGAAGAAAAGACCCGATACAATGTATTATGTATCCATGATTTACCTACCTAGGTATGTAGTGAGTGATATAGTAAGTAGACCTGGATAAAAACCCGCTCCATCAACCGACTTTTCAAAAAACAAAGAGAAGACTCCTTTGTATATAAATGTAATTCAGACAAACAATCTACATGTACAGCAAGCATGCACCCACAAAGGGGAATACATACCCAAGCCAAGAACGATTGGTGCCCACGCCCTTGATTTGACAAGCACCCACCTGCCTGTTCAAGCGAAGTATAAGCAGTATCTAGAAGTCTCAGGGTCACATTCCGATGTCAAGGGACGTTTCATATAAAACCATTACCAGTCCTCATCGACAGGAGCAAGTATTTCCTTTAAGCAACAATCGGATCCCAAAATCCCTTTCCCGTTCCAACATTTCACCCCAACACGATGGAAATCCCACAAGCTCTCCAAGCCCTAGGCCCCATCAGACCGGTAACCTGCGTCGAAATGCACACAGCAGGCGAGCCAACACGAATAATCTGGAACAACATCCCACCTTTAACAGGTACACTCCTGGAACAGCGAGCGCAAGCAAAATCCCAATTCGATGAATTCCGCCGCGTTCTCATGCTCGAACCGCGCGGACACTACGACATGTATGGCGCGATCTTACGCCCAGAGACCGAGCTCGTCAGCTCCGGACAAGCCCATATAGGCGTGTTGTTCATGCATAATGAAGGGTTCTCGACTATGTGCGGACATGCGACGATCGCTTTGGGCCGGTTCCTTGTCGATATTGATGAGAAGGTATTTCCTCGTCGGAAGGAATTGAGACATGATCCTGTCTCACGGACGACGACGCTTAATCTGCATGTGCCATGTGGCGTTGTCGAGGTTATTGTTCCCACTTTGGAGTCTGGGAAGTCGGATGCGTCGCGGCCTGTTTCGTTCGTGTCTGTGCCGTCGTTTGCTAAGGCTATCGCCTTGCAGGTTCCTATTTCTGAGAAGTATCGCTGGGCCGAGCTGCGTGGCAGGACGGCTGTTACGGTGGACTTTGCTTATGGGGGTGCGTACTATTGTATGGTTAGTGCTGAGGAATTGGGGTTCCCCTGTGGTCTTGGTGAGGTTAAGCTGCAGGATATGGATAATGCGACGAAGTTGCTCAAGGAGGCGGTGGTTACCAATCCAGATTTGCAGCATCTCACTCAGGACATGCAAACTGCTGAGGAGGGCTTCCTGTACGGTATCATGATCACGGATACGCGACTGGGACATGTCAGTGCTTTGGAGGGGACGGCGGCTGCTCGTGCGCAGCTGGATATTGGTAGCGAGGAGACGGGGCTCTGTTTCTTTGCCAACCAGCAGATTGACCGGTCTCCCACTGGGAGTTGTGTTGCTGCGAGGGTGGCTCTGGCACATGCCAAAGGGACTTTGGCTAGGGGTGAGAAGAGGATGTATAACTCCCTCGTGACTCGGGCATATAGAGGTCTTTCTGGATTTGTGGGGTCTGTCTTTGAGGATACTGACACAAGCCAAGGAGAGCAGCGGAGTGTCCAAGTTTGTGTCGAGGGACATGCGTATTATACCGGGTATCATTCCTTTGTGGTTGAGAAGGAGGATGGTCTTGGGCTGGATGGGTTCTCTATGAGGGACATTGCTTTGTAGTGCCTTACGAGGTAGTGTAAGGTACCTAGCTAATTGCTGTACCTATGTTTGTCCCAATCGAACATAAAATGAACTGTGCATATCTCAGTCCTCTGGGGATTGGGCCAGTGGTCAAGCTGGCGACATGGCGCTAGCACGAAGGTGACATGGCGCCGCTTCCACTGGACCTCCCCATATATATATACGCAACAATTTCTCACCCCCAATTTTTTTGTTTATGATCGTCGTTCGTTTGGCGACGATGTCTTTCTTTTTATTTTTTATTCACACTCCCTTTCTCGTTGCTCTGGAAGACGTTATTTATACGGGCAGACATAGAACTCCACCTTACCCATGTAGTCCCCCCCAACCCAGGACAAGATGAAAACTCCGGCGCCGACATGACCAGCCAGTATCAGGTCCAGCCTCATTGCTGGTCTCGCAGTTATTCCCACCATCTCTCAACCTGCCTCTCAGCTCAATGATTGGGTTGCACGCAAGGTGCCAATACACAACCAAATGACTACCATTACTGTTACTCTACGAAATCAATGGAAATAATTGTAAATGTGACAAAAAGGCGAGCTTGTTCTTGAAAGGAAACTGAGACAAAATATTGTACATCGTGTGTGGGGGATGGACAAGGCGTAAAACAAAAGGAATTCTAAGGGTAGTCTCTATAATCCTCCCGAGCATATTAGACCCGAGTCATCTATTTACCGATCTCAACACCGCCAGTGGCACCGAGCATGCGCTTGATGTCACCGTAGATGGCGAACTGACCGGCAGTGATGGAGCCAACCATGAAGAGACGGGCACCAATACCACCGTAAGAGCCACGGATACCGAGCTCCTTGGCGATCTTGATCAGACGGGTGACGGTACCCTCACCAGGAGCACCCTGGGTCTTGTTGATCTTGGAGAGCATGGTGTCGGCGGGCTGGGAGATGATGGCGGCGGCGAGACCAGCGATGAGACCGGAGCCGAGGTTGATACCGGTCTTGGCACCGTCGGAGAGAGTCTCCTTGTTGACGCTGGCGAGGATGGTCTCGGAGACCTTCTCGAAGACGACGAACTTGGCCATGGTGTAGGGGACCCTGTGGGAGGTCGAGTTAGTGGGAATTGTCATAGGAAAAGAAGCCGAACGAGGGGAAACAAAAACTTACTGCTTGAACAGGATGGGTCCGAATCCGGAGTAGAAGGCACCGATGCCCTCCTCCTTCAGGATGCGGGTCATGGCAGGGAGGAGACCGCTGGCGAAGGTAGGCTGGGAGACAAGACGGATACGGGTGGCCTCGAGAGGGCACAGGGCGATATCAGCAATGAACTCAGCGGCACCGGCGGAGGCGAGGTAGACGGCGGTGCGGTTGTTCTTGGCAGTCTCGTAGCCAAGGGCGTTGATGGACTGCTGCTTGAAGAACTCGTATCCACCGAACTTGAGGGCACCCTGGAGGAAGTAACCGGCGGCGGTAGGACCGAAACCGGTCAGGAGAGCGCCAGCACCCTCGTTCTGGACGACCTGGCGGAAACCACCGAGCATACCGCGGTTGTAGGTGACGGGGTCAAGCTGGATACGGGTCTTGACGCTGTGGAGGACCGGGTATGAGCGGAAATTCTTCTTCGCGCGCTGGCGATAGTTTCACAAACTTACACATCGAGAGGAGTGGCAGCACCGTGGGTGATGGCGCAGCACATGGCACCGGCGAAAGCGAAGCGAGAGTACTGGGAAGCAAGAATCGAGTCAGTTAGAGCATTATGGAGTTTCAGGGTTCAAAACATACGAGGTTGAGAGCACTCATCTCCTGCTTGGGGGCGGCGGGGGTGGCCATTTTGACGGATGTGAAGTAACGTAAAGAAAAACGTTAAAGAGAGGAGAGGATGGGATGCAATTGAAGCCTTAGAGAGTGGAAAGAGAAGAAGAAAGGATTTGAAAGGGATGGGGCCGAACCCGAAAACTTTTCGCGGCCAATGCGGGAGCCGCTCGGCAGCCACACTAAACTCCGATCGCCCGGTCAACCGCATAGCGTTTTGCTATCCTTTATATAACATGGTCAATTGTTACATATTATATTGAGATAGTTATCTGTTCCAATTCTAATTTGAAGTTGAAGTTGAGGTTGGCTATTAGACGTCATTCCGGATATTGGTGGTTGGGACCCGTTGCCGGAAATAGGCGGGATGAGGAACCGCCAAAGGGATTTGATAGGTTTTACGTTTCAAGCTAACCCTGGACTTGGAATTTATTCAGGGTTGATGGAATTGGTATTAAACAATAAACAATATTGTTGATAGAGGGTAGATTGCACTGACTACATGTATGGAGACCATATCATTTGCAATATCAGACCCACGTTGGAACTGGAAGATTGCTCACCAGCCACAACCTCTCTCCCTACGTCACAGTGGACACGTATTACTCTGACATACTAGGGTAGGCATTTGCGGCCATCATGGTCTATTATCTATTATCTATATTCTGGTGTACATCCCGGTATAACATTGGAACCATATGAGATATAGGCATACTCTAGACTATCTCCTACCAGAAAATCTTTGTCCTATAATTCATGATACAATCGACCTTTCACTTACTATGGCCTATCTTTACTAGTAGTGATTGAAGACAAAGTAAGGGTGGCTCAAATTGATGTACAGGTAAACAGGGTACAAATTGATTTCCATAAAAAACCGAGGCATTTTTGAAACTGCATGTAGTGATGGCCCTAATACTCCGTACAATGCTGTAAGATCCCGGCTTAGCGTGTTTAGGGTGATCAATCTACTAAAACATTGAAGCTATGCAACCTTGGAAAATCAGAACCAATGAGATCGGCAGATAAAGGCCACGAGGCCGCTATGGAATATTGAGGTTGATATGACCAACATTCACGAGCGATTCACGAGTGATAAGAGACACTTAAATTCCTGGAACTTGAATCTAGAATATTAAACATTCCTTTATCATATACTAAACCTATCCATCTCCGAAAATGGTCGCCATCACAGATGATATTTTTGCCCCTCAACTTGCTATTCTGCAAGACCTGTTCAGCGACAGTGTATCTGCAGAGCAAGCCGCTGAATATTTGGCCTCAATCTCATTGGAAGATGAGTCAGATCCCGAGGGGGGAATCACCAGCCTATGGAACTTGGTTTTCAAGTGCGCCTACAAGTACCCCGAGCACCATGATAAACTCGTCAATGTGCTAGTCCAACTGTCAAACCTACCAGACGCGAAAACATCAAATGGAGAACCCATCTTGCTCTACGATATGCAAGTTTGGAAAGACCTACCGATGTTTGGCTGGCAATTCCGCGATGAGTGGAATGCAAGTGTACCTGCTGGACCTCCCGACGCTCGTCAAAAGGCAATCTCGCGGATTATCAACCGGGATAAATTCACCGCACGTTTGATGGCGACGAAAGAACCTGTCTTTGCCTACTCATGGTTTGCACTGATTACCCTGCGCGATGCACTGGAAACACCAGTAGACCAATCCTCCGCGGGGAATCTGGAAGCATTGATTCCTGCTGCTGCTGCCTGGATCAGTATTCTCGGGGCGGACATTTATCAGTGGAATGAAGGCTTTGATGGCACCCTTGGCAAAGGAGGTCCGCTCTGGAAAGGTCAACATGGGTTTTGTAAGGAGAGGTGGCAGTTTTGGAAGGAGAGGTTCGGACAGTTGGCTACAATAGAAGTGGAGACTGGAGACGAAGTGAGAATAATAGCAAGGGACACGGGGCGGATGATGGAGGAGATTGAGAAGTGAGAAGTGAGACGCGATAAGTAAGACGTGGGGAGTTCCTTCACAGCTTTGTCAGTATAGAAGATCTCTACAATATACATAGAACGGTCTACTTTAAGCAATACATAGCATAAGAAATTATGAAAAGGGTCATGTTGGCCGCAACAGCGTCCCGCCTCTCACTAGCCACATCCCCACAGCGGACACGTATTTAAATTGTACAATTTGTTACCGATTTTATCGCAACATCGCCAAGGCTATTTTGAGGCATTTCCAAGTCCCAGCCTCCAGGGCTTCCAAGGCTCATTAGTCATTTTACACCTCTCACACTGTATTTCCACGAATCATACTTTTAAAGCCCAGTCTTCCAAGGTTGCCCAGTCTCTGTTAGTCATATTTTTAGTCACTCATACGAGTCGTGTAATTGGCTACTCCGTACATTTATCATTATTCCCACGATCCGAGATGTTTGTACTGTACTATATAGTACAGATCTTCCATGCTCTAACTATATGTATTGTAGGTCGAGATCCACGCATCAAATATTCGTGACACTGATTCATCGCATTGACTATTTGTACAAAGCTCACTGGTGGTGGGTGTGTTCTGGGAGAGTTGACATAATATAGATGTGACAGCGAGGCAGACGAACATATGAACTCTCTGCTCATATTAGAGGAATATGTTAATTTAAGCATTTATCTTATCTTTCAAAACTAGAGCGCGTTCACTTTTCAAACACAACAAGCAGCCCTTTGAATTCCTACCAGGCAATGTATCTCGCACAGCAGGGTGTGTCAGTGTCACTCGTTAGTTCCGCCCAGCCCTGACCTTCGGAGACCATGATATGTTTAGGATTTGATGCTATTCTTCCTTCTCTCTACAACAATGAGACCTGAACTGGCCCAGAATCACATCAATACCACCAATTCAGCGATAGAGCCACGCCTCGGTCAAATGTTGTCATTCCTAAGCTGCTGTTTGAAGATTCGGAGAAGGGCCCAGAGGTGGCGAGAGATTGAGGGTTCTCCATTTCCTTAGCTCCATGCCTTCCATGCTATAAGCTAACAATCTCGAGATCGAGTAGATACTGCCGGACTTGATGAAAAGCAGTCGTGGTCTCCCCCAGAAAACACACTCATGATGCAGGGCTTCGAATGGCACGTGCCAGCCGACCAACGACATTGGCAGCGTCTCCGCAAGGCAATCCCTGACCTGAAAGACATCGGTATAGATAACATCTGGATTCCGCCGGGGTGCAAGGGATGAACCCATCTGGAATTGGGTATGATATCTATGATCTGTACGATCTTGGGGAATTCGACCAGAAGGGGACCAGAGCGACGCGATGGGGTCCAAAGGAAGATCTCCAGAGCTTGGTACAGACTGCACAGGATATGAACGTTGGGATCTACTGGGATACTGTTTTGAACCAGAAGGCTGGAGCGGATTCGACTGAGAAATTCACAGTCGTCAAGATGGACCCAGAAGGTATTTCTCCCCGGTGACGGATAGAGTATGAGAGCGCTTATGAATGTCGAAAACCTTGCAGATCGGAATAATGAAATATCCCAACCTCTGACCATAGCCGGTTGGGTCAGGTTCGACTTCCCGGGACGTGGTGAGAAGTACAGCTCCATGAAGTATCACTGGCAACATTTTACTGGTGTGGACTGGGACGATGCGAGCCAGCAACACGCAATATACAAGATACTGGGACAGAACAAAGACTGGGCGAGCGATGTGAGTGATGAGCACGGAAACTACGACTACCTGATGTTTGCCGATCTCGACCATTCCCATCCAGAAGTTCGAGCTGATATATTGAAATGGGGGGAGTGGATTGGCACCGAATTACCGATCAGTGGAATGCGAATCGATGCAGCAAAGCATTATTCCGCCTCTTTCCAGAAAGAATTTGTGACACATTTGCGCAATACTGTTGGTGCTGATTACTTCTTCATTGGGGAGTATTGGAGAGGAGAGGTTGGCCTACTTCTGGAATATCTTAAATTAATGGATTATGAGGTCTCCTTGTTCGACGTTCCTCTTTTGGGTCGGTTTGCAGCTATCTCCAAGATGGCAGGTGGTGATCTACGGAAGATTTTCAAGGGCACGTTGGTAGAACAGATGCCGTCGCATGCAGTAGTAAGATACAATAACCTCGTGGGAATGTTTGCCGCTAATTCACTTTCATCATCAGACTTTTGTTGGCAACCATGATACGGTATGTTGATGTCCCCTTGTGGATTTATTGAAGCTTACAATCCCACAGCAACCTGGACAATCATTAGAGGTGAGATCGCTCAAAGTTTAGCTATCATACAGCCTTGGAGCATATAATTTAACACCCTGACAGACTATCATTGCACCGTTTTTCAAACCTCTCGCATACTCTTTAATCCTCCTTCGAAGCCAAGGCCAGCCATGCGTTTTCTACGGAGATCTCTATGGAATCATCGGTGGACCCGAACCCCAACCTGGGCCATCAAGCAGCGGAACACTTCCCATCCTCACGCGCGCCCGAAAGCTATATGCACACGGGGAACAACGAGACTACTTCAATAGACGGAACTGCATTGGTCAGTATAGCTTCCTTGAATATGCATTATCGTGCTTACAATTATATAGGGTTCGTTCGCTACGGAAACTATAAACACCCGTTCGGTCTTGCATGCATCCTTAGCAACGGTGGTGCATCCTACAAGCGCATGTTTGTCGGTCACAGACATGCTGGGGAATTGTGGACTGATATTCTCGGCTGGCGAAATGAGGCTGTACTCATTAATAACTGCGGCTATGGAGTTTTCCCGGTAGCCGCTATGAGTGTTAGTGTTTGGGTGAACTCTCAAGCGGAGGGGAGAAATGGAATTAATCGGTCTTTGTAAGTTTCATCCACCAAATTTCGGTGTTCAGGAATCAAACTAACTAGGCATTTCATAGTAACGAGAACATATACAGCCTCTAAGATTTTTTGTGTCAGAATATCCTTGTGGTCGTAAGTGGATAGACACTCATTTATATTGAGCTTAATATTTGTGCTTGTTGAAGTCAAGCCATAATACATTGCTACTGGAACTAAGCAGGATCAAGGGCTCTTTAAGGCTTTTTGAGGCTCCTATTGTACAACCGCTTAGGTCCTTTCTCAATGCAGCTGCTCTTTACGTCTCGTCTCTATGCCCGAATACAATTGCTAAATGTTCCTGAGGTCCTCGGGTGGTGGCTCGTTGACTATATATCGTGCAATGCCTGAGGCAGAATTGGTGACAGGTGGGTCAGGCGTCAACCCCGGAATCTCTTGTCCCTTGGCCAAACCGTTTAACGGTCACATGTACGCACAGTGCATAATTTCTTTCTAAATATATTGTCCGGGATGTTTTTTTTGGCTGTAACAGACTCATCCAGATTCTTGTTCTCGTGCCTACCGGGCGGTCAGGGCATATCGGCTAGAAAGCCGAAGTCAGCCCGCAACCGGAAATGACAGGGAATTTTAGCTTTGCCGACATCCCAGCCCAACCCAGTTGGCAAAGGCCAATATCCTGAACGAGACAACATACCCCTGAAACGGATTTGTCCGCTTACTCCAGGTGGAGCGCTTTCGGATGCATCCTCGAGAACACAATAAGTCGAGCACTGTGCGGAATACCCGTTTCCCGTTGTGCCCAACATTGGCGTCCCCACTACAGGGAGCTTCCTCATACTCAAAACTGGCTATCGCCCGATCGGGTGAACCGATCCACTGTGCCAATCACGCATATCATGGGAACAAGTCCTCGTCAGCCGAATTGAGCCTGCCCCATTGGTCCTGATTTACATGACGGGGAAAGCTGTCTGACGCAATTTCTGCAAGGCCAATTGATTGATCGACAGGGTCTCATCCCTCACTAGCATTGAAGAATCCAATTTCCAAATGACTAGATGCATGCGGTCAGGATACTTGTTTCAAAATTTGAGCTTGGATTGCGTTTGTGTGTCGCGGGCAACCAGTGCTACTCTATCAAAATTTCTGAAAATCGGTCTTCTATCCGAGATTCCATGTGATATTTCATACAGTCGCGTTTCCAGTTGCCACTTTAGCGATCCGCAGCTTCTTGGCTCCTGTTTTTCGCCCGTACTGTTAAGGGAAAAGCCGTTCTACCCGAGCCAGGTCTGATCAACACCACCGTATACCTAATTTGACAGGGAATGCTAGTCTATACTATATTTGCCAAACAGGCCTCGCGTCCTGACTCAATTTGTGAAAGTTAGGGCGTACAATCAGAGATTGCTCTATGGATGTGGAGTCGAATCCACATCAAACTTTGAACACAACTTCTATTTGTCTGAGTCAAACATCCACTGGCACTTGTGGGGACCTTTTCAACTTTGAACCTTTTACTGAACCTTTTATAACTCTTGCCTTCCGCCTAGATCTTCATCTAGTGCACAATTTGTCGATTCTGTTGATAAACCAAGGTCGTCAAGATGTCGGACCATGTGGCTGTCGAGGAAAATGTGCAAGAGGTCATGTCAAAAACAGGTCAGTCGCCCATCTGCCTTGTCGATGCTTCTATCTTGTATCTTAGGAGTCAAAAATACTGAAACTGTTGTATAGAGCACGTAGTGCCTTCCCCTCATGAGTCACAACACTCCTATGATTCTGAAGATCAAGACTCAGAAGTCGACCATGAGCCCATCCAAGAACGCTATGGAAACCCTTCATACTCTAGATTCCGCCGAGTGGCCTCCAAAACGATTGTGTCATTCGGGCCCAATGACCCAGAAAACCCCGTCAACTGGAGAACGGTATGTGCGATGGTGTCTAATACAAGCAAGCCGAAGAGAAGAGTACTGATGTGTCCGACAGAGGAGGAAGTTCCTTGTTCTCACAGCTGGTGTCATGCAGGTAATGAACAGTACTATCGGCTCGTCAATCTGTAGCAACGCCATCCCCCAAATCGCCGAAGAGTTCGACATCACCAACCAAACAATCCTCGTCTTGCCCATCTCCATCTTTCTCATCGGCTATATTTTAGGGCCATTGCTATGGGGTCCTAGTTCCGAGTACTTTGGTCGGAAGCCCCCTTTGCTCATCGCTTTTGTTCTATTCATGATATTCACTCTGGCGTGCGCTGTCGCAGATTCATATGCATCCCTGCTTGTCTTCCGATTATTCAATGGCATGGTTGCGTCGGCGCCTATCGCTACTGTCGGCGGACTCTTTGCCGATGTACACGACGATCCCACACTGCGAGGCCGTCTGATGGCTTATTTCATGGCTGTAAGCTTGCCGCATACCTTTGACAGAGTTGTTGAGTCTGATAGCTAATTGCTTAATAGTGTACAACCTTCGGGCCAATCATCGGACCCTGGGTATCTGGCTTCGTGGCGGTTGTCAGTTGGCGTTGGTGCTTTTGGATTGGACTCATTCTATCAGGCGCTACCTTGCCATTGATTATCTTCATGCCTGAAACATATGCCCCGGTCATCCTGAAGCGTCGTGCCCACAAGCTACGCAAAGACACCGGCAATTCAAGCATTGTATCGCCGTTGGACGTTCAGAGTCGCAATCTGCGAGAAATGCTTCTTGTCACGATCTCACGACCCTTCCGCATGATTATTCACGAGTACATCGTTTCTCTAACTTCATTGTATCTTGCTCTGGCATATGCAATCTTCTACCTCTACTTCGAGGCATATCCAATCATCTTCCAAGGTCGGTGACATATCCCAACTAGAACCCCGTTGGAGACATGCACTAACGAACATCATGCAGATATCTACAAAATGAGCCCTGGTGTGTCTGGCTTGATGTTTCTACCTAGTAAGTTCATCTATACGGTAATTTCTCCAAAAGCAAAAGGAACAGATTCTTATCCACCCAACAGTCGGCATCGGCGCCATCCTTGCCTGTGGCATCTTCCTATGGTACGACGGCTACTCTAGCCCGAGCGAAGGCCCGCAATGCCAGCTGGGCCTTTATCGAGGAATACCGCAGACTCCCTCTCGCCTGCATCGGCGGACCCCTATACGTGATCTCCCTCTTCTGGGTAGGCTGGACAGCCTCACCAAACATCCACTGGGTCGTACCCTTCCTCTCCGGCATCCCGTTCGGAATGGGCTACCTGTTAATCTTCATGGCTATGCTGAACTACCTGACCGATGCCTACGAGACCCTCTCCGCCAGCGCGCAGTCCGCCGCAAGCTGCACGCGAAGTATTCTTGGTGCTGTACTCCCGCTCGCGGCTAAGCCGATGTTCAACCGGCTCGGCGTGCCTTGGGCTTGCAGTCTGATTGCCTTCCTCAGTTTGGGCGTCTCTGTTATCCCGTTCGCTTTTATTCGCTACGGTGACCGCATCAGAGCTAACAGCAAGTTCTGTCAGGAGCTCAAGCGTATCAAGGAGGATGAGCGGTTGGAGTGCGAGAGAGAGGAGCGACTCGCGAATGGTGATGATACACTCGAGCCTATCCCTTCCCGTAATACTGGGGTTTCGATGACTAGGATCGATACTGCTCGAACGGATAAAGCGTCGATTATTTGTTGAAGATGGTCTGCAATTGCTGTCTGCGGCCATGTGCCACCCACGATTTACCTATCGAATATTGTCTCGACGAAAAGACTTCATTCGCGCGTTTTGGGTCATTTCTTCCCCTTTGCTTTTTCGATTTCATCGGTTGGCGATCCAAAAGTTTGATTCTATTTCCACGAGGCGAGTGATATTACCATATACCTATTCTCTAATGTTTAAGCAACACAGGACCTCCACCAGCTGCTTCGAACTATGCTCCTTTCGAGATGAGAGAAACGCACAGGTGCCTGTATTTCCATTCCCATTTTGCTTTTTGCTCCCCCATTTTGAGGCGTCTCACTATACTTTTTACCAGGGAATAGAGGTTGCATCGGGCGAGCGTTGCTTCATACTCAGATTGATTATGATATCTTCCATTAGGAAGACTCTAGAATAATTTTTAGTCTAGTCTTAATGAACTCATGTTTTCACCCTACTCTCGCTTTAATTCAGCTTTTCCAACCTTGCTTAGTCCTGGAATGACCAGGGAATTTCAATTGCATCTTTCGGTACGGAGTATATCTAAACTGAAGAATGAATTATGATAGACTACTTGCTTCGACAAACAAAGCAATGTCCCTTGCTCTAAATTTCCAAATCGAGCACACTCAACGACTGACCAAATCACAAAACAACCATGTGATCATTAAAAATGTAGTCCATTCAACAATATCCTGTACCACCAAAGTCCCTGTCAAGCACACATAATCCCAATTGGGGTCTTTATCCCCGTCAATATGATGTAGTTTCCAGGATTTTCTCGGCTGGAGCGCTACTCATGCAAAAAATAAAGGGTAGACGGGAGATCCCCCCTAATATAAAATCCAACCGGCGAGAACAGCTGCAGGTGATCTAAACGTCTGTGCGTAATAGACATGTAACAAAAAAAGAAAGGGAAAAAAAAACGACTTTGCGGCCCCGAGTGACTTGCATTGGTCTGCACTTTAATTGCTATCCACAGATCCAGGGTGAAGACTTCAGGGATTGAAGGATTGAAGGATTGAAGGATCTAGTCGAGGTCCAGACTCTAGTAAAGTCTTGGATATCTAACTGGGAGCATTGATTGGCTTGTGTGGATGTACTAGAATAGACACTAGTCAATTAGCAAAGGATTTTATGCGGAGTACATTACAGTACTATGTTGTATGTACAGCATTGCCCAGTCATCTACGGACTAGTTTCGAATGAAATCCGCATAGTGAAGATCATAAGCGGTGGCGAAAATCCCATTATACTTTGTAGATCGATCCAATCCTGGTTATGGTCTGTGTGGGAATGCAGGGAAAGGAGCTATGACGGCAAAAGGAAGGGAATCAGGCAATGTTCAAAAAAATGTCCAAATTAAAGTCGAGACCCGGACAATAGAAAGAAGTTGCGTGGTTTACGGTCCGAGCAAAAGATTAATAGCGGCAAACGCGCTTTGCGCGAAAGGGGGGTGCGGTTGCAGCGGGAACCCCAGATGGAGTCTGTGGAGCCTCTAAAAAAGGGTACTTTGGTAGATTTTGGCCTGGTGATCGAGAGTGAGACAGGGTTTACTTTAATATTTTGCTTTTAATTTTTGTTGTCTGATCCGATGCAACGACATTGTTCCTAAAAGGAAAAACGAAGTAATAATCCTGGTATCCAGATGTCTTTTAAATCAGGGCGGATGTGACGAAGAAGTCCGGACCCGTTGGAGAAAAAAAGGGAAAAAAGGGAAAAAAGCCCTTGATACCCCCCACACGAATATGACTATGATACGTCAGACTAATTCCATGTGCCCATCTACCAAGCTTGGATGTGATGTGCACCTGAACTAGATCGGGTCCCCGGCCCATCCCGAGCCAGTCAGATCCCATATACCAGTAAACATTTCCAGCAATGATTAACACCTGAAGCCGGACCTGCGTGACCCCAGATCAAACATCCGGTACTCTCAGACTTTGGGTACTCACAAACATGAGTTGGCATCCTTATGTTCGAATCAACTGCACATCGTCTCTCCGACGATAGCCGTAGCCTACGTAGTAATTGTTCGATTGTATTTCCCGAGTCGGCAAGCCCTGTTCAGGCGCACGGGCGGTATAAGAGCTTGACGATTGAAGCTAAACACGACATGAGGTGGCTAGATCGTGGCCCTTATGGAGATCAGCCAAGCAGCTATGGGCCCAGGTCGTTCCCACGCGCCTCTTGTCCGACTGGTAAGAGATTATCAGCCAGTTAGAAGGGGTTTACTTGTAAGCATCTCCACCCATACACACTCGGAGCTGATTGTGCACAGCCCTGGATGTCAGTTCCCACCCTTTGAACTTTTTGGAAAATAAATATAATAAATAGAATAAAACAAATGGGTTGAGATCATGTGGCTGGCAATTACTCCCCGGTGGGTTCCTCTATTTTTTGCGGGGAATCCCTGGGCGTATCACAGCAGTTCCGCAGGCACAACTTCGCTCAATGAGGCATGTGGAATGCAGCTGCCATACCTTTTGATCCTTTTTTTTTTTGACTGGGACTAGTTAAGCTGACTTGGAATTATCGTCTGGTGATCTTCTATTGCTGCCTGCTTCCGATGGTGACTTCATAGCCCATCTTGAAAACATATTTAGATCGTCCAATCTATGTCATAGTCAATCATATTCACCTTTTTTCTATTTCCTTTTGCCTTTGACAATGAGCGTTCTTGATTAGTCGTTTCTATTTCTATAAAAGCTGTCTGATCTATACGTGAAACCTTTCAATGGGAAAAGTATGACAACCTTCTCACTAGTCGCGATTCCAATCTTCGTCTTTCTTTTCGCAGTTAGACACCAAAGAGAACTGCTCCAGTGGTTATCAGAAAAGTTGGAAGGGAAACATTGCTCAAAAGATGTCGCCAACCCATCCGACGTTAAGCGTATGGCACCGTACCCAGCGCAGCCCATCAAAGGCAGAGAGCGATACCGCGTAATGATGGATATTCGCAAACTCGACGCCCAGAATTGGCTCACCCTCGACAAGAACTATATGGACGAACACCGGGTGCGGACCCAATTGCTCCACGAGAAAAGAGAAGAGGTCCTGCGCTGTTTGCCGGAGTCAATTGAACCCTGCCAGGAAGCATTGGAGGAAGTTTCAGACTTCCTCTGCGAGAGATTCCCCAATATGTTCGAGATGTCAATCCAAAACGGCCGAAAAATCATCGATAATCGCATGACTGGCGATAAATTCACTGTCAGAGGACGCGACTCCAACGAGGGATTAACCGAGGCACTCGAGGCCGCTGTGCGTCTCACGATGGAAGATCTCAGTATCTTGATGATGAACGAGGAAGGGGAATTCTACCTGTATGTCCAAACCCACCTATAAAAGAAAACTTCAATACTAACAGTAACACAGGGCAGCTAGCGCCAGCCTCTTCCCAACGGGGTGGACAGTGAACCAGAGAATTGGCTGGACCATCTCTCAACTGCATGGCCCCGTGCCACTATGGCACCAGCAAGTCGGTAACTCCGTCAGCAAGTAAGTGATTTCCAAATCAGACCATGTAGAGCGGCTGCAACCAACAGAGAAAAACAATAAACTAACCAATCCCCAGATTCCTCGCCCGCTTAACCCCAACCTCTCCAATGGAACGCTCGAACTACTTCATAGAAGTCAAGGGACCAAACGAGAGCCTGACTGAGATCCTCTACCGGCCCAATTCCCTCTGCGAGAAAGAGCTGAGCAGCCCATTGCCATCGGATATCCTGATCCGTCGCGAGAGACAGACTTTCCGTCGACTGCCGCGCACAGGTGCGATCGTCTTCGGCGTGAAGACGTATCTCACGCCGCTGGATGAGCTTCCAATGGCTGAGCTGGATAACCTTGCCAAGGAAATGAGGAGTTGGCCTGATTATGTGGGGGAGTATAAGGGGAGGGATGTTTGGGGGGCTAAGGTCTTGGAATACTATCGCCAACGGGTTGGCGAGGAACAGACTGGCAATGAGGATAAAGACGGGAGCATTGGTGTTTGAGCAGACTTTTGAATATCATTTCTTTTCGCATTTTGGGTCTGGAAGATCAAAACTGGGTCGGCTTTTTGATTAACAACGCGAAAGTTGTTTTCTTTGCTTGCGTTCTTTTGCTAACTGAAAAGGCTGTGTCTTCGACTAGACAATTGTTTATCAGGGCTTCAGATTGATGGGTTCAAGTTCTATTTAATTATAACATGTTCATGTGGCAGAACTATACCTAAGAATGACCAGCTTAAATACAAAGAAAAATCACAGGAAGTCGGGGGACTCAGTCCGAATCTATAATAAAGATATGTAAAAAGAACGGAAAGTGATAGGAGATAACTCCTAGCTAGGGGTATAGGAGCTCTTTAAATCTTCGACAGTGGCGGCTTGTCTTGCTTTAACCGAACAACACCCTATGATCGAGTTAGCACTGGCCTCCAGAATCGAAAAAAGCAAATACATACCTCTTGCGTGCAAGTAGCAATAAGCACCCCATCCTTGGACCAAATCTTCTGAATAGCCAAGCCTCGTCCTTCGCCAGCCCACGGGCTCTCAATCTCCGACAACATCCACTCATCGGCCCGGAACGCCCGGGGATTGTGGAAGTAAATTGAGTGGTCCAGGCTGACCATCATGCCAACCTCTTTATGGTCTACCTCCTTTGGGCCCGTGGCTCTATTCAACGCCCCTTCCAGACGGCGCCGCAATTCTGCAGCCTCCTCTTCCTTCAACTCCCTCAGAGCCCGCGTGATATCCTCATCGTCAAGATCAGACGGATTCTTAAGCGCGTTGAGAAGTTTCTCAAGTTCAGCCGGGGAGGAAAAGCGCGGGATATCATGGACAATGGAAACGGTCCCGATGAAATAGCTGTCGGTAATATAGGCAAGAGCCGACAGGTGTGCCTGGTAACCACCTTCTTCGGAGATTGCGCCGCGGGCGCGAATGTATCGTCGGACCTTCTTATCTTCCGGGTCGGGGGATGTGCCTATTGATTCAACAACGATCATTAGCACATGCAGAGCATGGAGTTCCCGACTAGCGACGTACGGTTCAAAATGCCCGCCTTCCTTGATTCAAATGGACCGCCGCCCGCATTGCTGAGCGCTTTCAAACTGCCCGGCTCGGCCTCTTCCGGCAATGGGACGTCTGGTTTCGATACGGCGTGGTGAAGCGTCTTCTCACCTCCACTGCCGACCCGGCTGAAGCTCAGCGTGGTGGTGAAGATCGGTCGCCCCCGTTGTCGCGCCTGCACGGTTCGGGTCACGAAGCTCCTCCCGTCGCGTACGCGCTCGACGTGGTATAGAATTGGGATTTCGGAATCGCCCGCGAGTACGAAGTAGCAGTGCATGCTGTGGACGGCGTAGTCGGCCGGGACCGTCCGCATGGCTGCTGATAGGGACTGTGCGATCGCGGCACCGCCGTAGATGCCTCGAGCTCCGGGTGGATGCCATAGCGGGCGGGTATTGGTAAAGACATCCTAGAGACAAAGAGGGATTTGTTAGAATGACTCTTTTTGCGATAGAAGAGGGAGGGATGTCGTACTGGGCCGAGGTCCACCACTGGCGTCAGATCGAGTACGTTCTCGATAAGAGCCTTGGAATGATCCTGCTCGGGCGGATCGAAAATCGTCACGCGTTTCGACATTGTAATTTTATTGAAGAGAGATCTGAATGAGGAGGTTAAATGCCCAGGTGAATTTCAGGGATGACGGTGCCCTGGACTTTTAAATGCGGTCGGCCATTGCAAAAAAAGTGCCGAGGTCCAAGGGGATTTCTCATCTACCGGGGCTTCAACAGCAACATTGTTCACATTGCACATATTGTGCAACTACACATGCTGGCAATAACACATTATTCAATCATATTTCACATTAAATTACACGTACACTTCCTCTTCATACTTACACCCGATATTTCCCACTCTGTACCATACTTCAAGGAGTCAGGTAACTCCATCCCTTCTGCGCTCTCTCACCCCCAGGCAAATCGAAGCGATAAGTGCTTCGCACAAGATCAGGCGATGGTGCACTGGTATTACGTTCCCCCAATAAGCGAAGCAACTGGCGCCGTTGCATCTCTTCGTCGGTGAGTAGCGGCATGCCTTCCTCCGCTCGGTGACGCCCATATTCTCGATACGCCAATATCCCCGCAAGAGCGTAACAGAGAGAGAACGCAGCGGGTAGGCATATGTTCACGATCTGCAAGGTGTTCATCTGCAGGTTTCGCCCATGGATATGAAACAGGATATTCAGGAGCGCGAGCAGATTCATCGTTGAGTATGGGCTGTAATCGTTAATGGGTGACAGAAGAGACGCACCTTCTATTAATACTTACATGAAGATCGAGTGGAGGAGGAAGAGTACTTGGTGGCGCTGGGCGAAGATAATCAGGGCTGATACACCGTACGACGCACCGACAAACACAAATGCAATAACAGTAGATACTGTAGCATTGATTTGCAACTCATGGGGAGGAGAGCCGACTACCACAGCCAGTATCATATAGCTAACCACACAAACCCTACAGTCAGAGATCTCCAATTCTCAGGTCAAGCTCATATCTCGTGATATCAAACTCACCCGACTAGCTGTAAAGCTGTAAAGAAGGCTGCTACTACTTTCCATAGCCGTGAGATATCAGTCGTATTCCGGGGTAGGGTCTGTCCGGCTTCGTATGGAGCAGCCAGCATACTGACGATTATGCCAAGCCCAAGAGTAAACACGTAGGAACCAGGAAGCTAAGCAAAAAAAAAAGAAATACAAAATACAAATAACGACTGTCAAAAGGTTGGATCTGCCCTGGGAGAGAAAAATTAAATTAATGAAACGAGCGAGTTTAAGAGAGGAGGTCGGTTGCAGAGCTGCAGCTGAGGTCTGCAACCCCTCAGAGGCTCATCTAGGCAACCAGCCTGCAGAACTAGTCTCTTAGCTGTGATGACATCCCGCAGATCGCACAAACAACGCCCATATAAATGATCTGTTCCATACGATATGGTCCTGAAGGTGATGTATGCTCAATTAGATTACCTATATAATTGAAAAGTATTGATGTTGTGTGAGTGTATCCACAGATGGCAGGTATCATATGAACATGAAATGCCGAGACTTGCCAAACTTTTAGGCTCAAAAATTTTCAACATATCGGTAATCCGATTCGGACATATAAATGCTGATCCCACCAATGAACGTTATGCAAGTAACCGGGGCCCTGTAGCTACCCACTGATTTATAAAGAACAATCGCATATTGTCCGTCCTAGCTGAGCGGGACGAAGAATATTGCTGGGTTATAGATTTCTTCTTCTTTTCTTCCCAAGGTAAGATGCCGAAAAGGCTGTTGTAAGAAATATATACACATTTGGCGAGACGGAAACTAGATTCCACACGGTGTCTATGTAATATGTTATGCCCGATCTAGCTACATCCAAATCGCGGTAGAATGTTTCAGGGAATAATTGACTGTTTCCCCCACCAGGGGAGAAACTTACATGTACCGAGGTAGCTCCCCTTTGTCAATTGGCAGTATGCCCTTCCTATACGTGGCTGAATAACTCGAGGGAGCTGTTAGAAAAATAGCTCCGGCTTATCGTCTCACTACAAATGAGAAATAGAGCTAAACCCGAAAATTATTAAGTCTGCCTTTCATAAACCGCCTAAAAACTATTCAACAGACTTAAGCTCGAGTGTGGAGACTAAGACCTATAACATCGCTACAGTTAGAGGGCCCTCTAGCACCGTATAGCAATTCAGCGTATACTTTAATGTCTAATACATCTTTTGATTCGTGTTCTAGTCGAGATATAAACAATAACCAATCGAGCAGGCCCGTCAAGTCATGCACCAAGCAAATCACAGTATATTATAAGGCTATTTACTTAGAAACCAGTGCATAACTGCTGTAAGGTTGATTCGACAAACTAAAAGTTACAAGATATCACAATATTTTCAAGGCTTCCAAATACGCCCTTAACACCGCGGGTGATATAGATGGGGTCTAGAAGCTGGGGTAAGTGAGGTAAGAACAGGGTAGCAAGTCCCTAGCTAAAGGGTGACAGGGGCTAATCTGCTTAGAGCTTATCCCGTTCCTACATTTAAGCTGGAAGCCATGAAATTTAAGCTTCGGGGCCTTTTTTCAACTCTATACTTCATTCTTGAAAATAGGTCTACCGAGAAATCCTCTAGAAGAACTTGCGGAACGCATTGTGCGTGCCATATAACGTAGATTTATTCGTTAATATTAAAACAGGAAGGAACACAATATTATCTACGACTGCTAGCTAACGGGTATTACGCTAGTAAAATATGAATATCTGATAACTACACCGTAGACCACGGACGTCGAATGGCATCATTGATTTTTAGAATAACGGCCATGATTGGGGCCAAACACTGGCTGCAGAATAGGCAGGTACATAGATAGCATCGGATGTCATCGGACTCCTCAAACGCACTAGCGCACTTACGAAAACGTGCGTGCGGGTTTAACTAACCTGATTAAAGTCTGTTTCCCCGAGCCAATGGTAACCGTGGATCCTCCAACAATGACTCGACTTATCAGCCGAAATATAACCGGGAGAGATAAGAAACGGGCTACATAATAATCTCCGACAGCTATACTAATCCCCTGGCTAATTCCTCTTGATCCATTAAAATCAGGTACGCTAAATTGGTCATACACGATTCCACCAGATCTCCTTATCGCTGAAAGTGCCCTCGATAGCCGAATGTAACAAATTGAGATAAGTATAACTTGGTAATGGAACGTGTATATATGGGTTATGCCCGGGCTTTTGATAGAAGTATCTTTTTGCAGACTTCGAACCCTAGTGTGGACTATCTGAGTCAATCATCATGGTCTCTCCTACTGGTTCCTACGGGCTACCAGCTCTGTTGTTAGCCCTACTGTCACTCTCCGCCACCGCCATCGCGACAGTCACTCCTAAGGGTCAAACGGTTGAGCTTAATGGGAACACGTATTACGTTCCTCCTACAGTAGTAGCAACATTGAAAGCTGATTCGCACGTATTCGGCAAACTCAACGGCTTGCAACCTCTGGCGGTCATCCGGAGTGATGCCTCAAAACTGACAAGCTCAGTCCTTGAATCATTAGTGAGCAGTTACGAGGCTGCTGACGATGTTTTCAATGCTGGGTTCCTTGATAATGTCTACGTTCAGTATAATGGTACCTACAAGGATCCCTCGGAGAATGTGTCAACCCATTCCTCATGGGGCCCTAAAATCCTGGGATATGCATCTGCATATGGTACCAAGAGATCGAAGACAGTGACCTCATCGTCAACCCTACCTGCTGGCCCATATTTCTTGGATCCATCCAGTGGAGCCGTTTTTGAAGCCTACCCTATTGTATTCCGATGTGATGGGGTCCTTCACTCAGGGATTGGTGTCGGTTGGTGATGATGAGTATGATGTTTTACCGGCAAGCTTGCAGGGCTATGCGTCGTTGACCATTGGTGTTCCTTCGCGGCTGTACTATACCAAGACAGCTGAGAAGCCTTTGGCTGGTGTATGTATTCTCCACCATTTTCATAACAGGGGCCCTTATGCAAGAGAAACGCCATACTAACTATTTACCTACTCATAGGTTCGTCTCGGTGTCAAAGACATTTATGATATCAAGGGTGTCAAAACCGGCTGTGGCAACCGCGCTTACTACGAAACATACCCGGTTGCTAACTCTACCGGCCCCGCAATCCAATCACTCATTGATGCGGGCGCCGTCATCGTCGGAAAGATGAAGACCAGTCAATTCGCCAACGGTGAGACCGCCACTGCTGATTGGGTTGATTACCACTCCCCTTCAATGCCCGCGGTGACGGGTACCAAGATCCTAGCTCATCATCGTCCGGTCCTGGCTCTGGCATCGGGTCTTACGACTGGTTGGATTTGGCCATTGGAAGTGATACCGGAGGCTCGATTCGCAACCCTTCGCAGGTGAATGGATGCTTCGGCAACCGACCCTCGTGGAATTTGGTCTCGTTGGATAAAGTCATGCCCATGTCTCCGCTTTTGGACACGGCCGGATTCTTGACAAGAGACGTGCAATTGTGGCGTGCTGCGTCGGAGGTGTTGTACAAGGATGCAGGCCTGAAATCCTACACCAAGTACCCCAAGTCTATCAAGACGATCCAATTCCCAACTAATGCCTCGACCCCGGCAGAGGGTCTTTTGATTGATTTTGTCGACAAGCTATCGTCCTTTTTGGGAGGTGCGAATGTTTCTGCATTTGATTACAATTCTCTCTGGGAATCCACCAAACCTTCGACTGTTGCCGCCAATGCGACCCTCGACAGCATGTTGTCTCTCACTTACCCAATCCTCATTTCGAAACAGCAGTATCCCCTCGTTGCTGCACCGCTATATTCAGACTATGCGGCCGCCAATGGAGGTCGCATGCCGTTTATCGACCCCGTGCCTCTGTCCCGTTGGGATTGGGGACTTGGATACCCAGAGTCGCAGCTGGAGACTGAAATAGAACACAAGAACATATTCACCAACTGGTGGAACACAACTGCCCAGGTATTCGACGAGGAGACTTGCTCAGACAGTTTGATTCTTTACATTGGAACTGAAGCGACACCGCTCTACCGCAATGCTTACCGGAGGTTTGTGCTTGCTCTTTCCCACATGCTAGGATATTTAAAGGACTGTTTGCTAACCCATTCAAATTATATAGCATGCCAGGTGTCCCAACAGGATTCGCTACGTCTCGTATCGCCAACTTTGCTGGTGTGCCCGATATGGTCGTTCCAAGTATGTTCAACCCCTATTACTTATACGAAGCCCCCAAGACGTTTACTTTGGAGCTATAACTAATCACAATTATAATTCAGTCGGTCAAGCGCTCTACAACTCCACCATCACCCTTCAGCAGGAATATCTGCCTGTCGCGGTGGATTTCATCGCACCTCACGGCTGTGACCTGATGGTCTTCAATCTGATCAATGAGTTGGTGGAAGCCGGTATCGTGAAGCAACCTCACACCGGATCCACTTTATATGGAGACCAGGTGACTTATTATTGAGAGAGCAAATCAATAGGTAGCTGCTAAGCTGGGGTAGTATTGTACAGTCATTAATGTATAGATTCAGTCTTGAACATATTCTTTTTTACTACCCGAGTTGGATCTCAAAAAGCGATATTAAAAATATAGTTCTAGACTATTACACATTGGTCGTGTGAGTATGGTTGCGGAGTATGAGGCATGAAACGAAAGTATCCTCCGCTAAGTGTCGGACATTGGAAGCCAAAACTTAGAATTGCCCAATTGCGATTATCGAAACTCCGCAAGTCCGCAAAATGAGCGGATACTGGTGGACTTTTTGGAAACCGGAACGTCCTAGAGGAAAATGTTTAGAATGTAGGGAGCCGGTGAGCATAAATTACGGCCTATGCCTCTACTTTGCAACTTCAACCACACTTTTCAGCCCTTTACCTCAGACACACAATTATTTCCGTAAGTTTGCAACACATGTATTTCTGTGGTAATATATTCACATCATGTAGCAGCACAAAATGTCCACCCAACAGCAATCTCTCAGTGAGTGGGTGACACAAATCAACGATACTCTGTTCATTCAACCAAACGATGAAATCGCCCTCAAGGCTGTCAATGAGCAAGTTGATCCAAGCTTGGTAGTCAAGTACGCTACCCTACCTCTGTTACATCTTGACAAACACATCTGACGCAGCCATATTTCTAGGATCAACCACAACGTCTACAGTTACGACCATTTCAAACAAGGCCTCCAATATGCCCGTGCTTCCAGTACATCGATTCAAAATGAGTTTTCGGTTATACTGCAATGGGAGAACTCGGAGAAGCCAGATGGCGTTGTGGCGGTTCTTAGTAAATGGACGTCCAAGGACAAGACATCGGGCAAGGAGACCAAGAAGACCAATGTTATTCTCTGGGAGGTCAAGTGGATTGATGGTCAGAGAAAGCTTACGGGACAAACCGAGGTGGAGTCTGTGTGAGGGAGTGTTACAGTAGATCCAACGGCTTCGTGCTTGCCTCGCTCGTGCCGATATAAGCTACCAGCTGTCATCGGCACGGACTGCCTTGTGCTGATATCTGTTCAATGAGCTAGTGGATTTTATGCTATACGTATATGTATACTTTAGAAGGTGAAAGCATCGTCCGCCGAACGTAGGAGGGCATGCCAAAACTTCTATTCGATTCGTATTTCTAATGCGAACAATAGCCTTTCCCTTCATTGATACATGATAACATACAAGTTAGGCTTTACTGACAAAAGATCAGAGTCTGACCAGTCACAATATATACATCTAGGATTCAGATAGACTTCATACCGAACCATAATCTGCTTCCTCTAAACCGTATCTAATATTTTGGCTATGCCCCAACCATTCCCCTGTGGCCTCTATCCCCTTTAACATGGCCATTATCAGTACACCGAGCTCCTCTAAATCGCCTGGCTTCGCCTTTGCTATTGCCTCGTCCCAATGCGTCACCCGCACTTCGAGCCTCTCCCTCTCGCTATATGCTCTCCGCCAACTAATTTCCGACTGCGAGTTCCAAAGTGCCGCTTGGGCCGTGAAGCTCATTCGCATGTCTGGAACCGTGTCATAGCCAAGTTTCAAAAAACTGTATACTCCTTTCAACATAAACGCGGTTATTAACGTCCGTCGACTGCTCTCCTCGATCAACCAGCGCCGCCAGTCCGTAGAAGTGCTTCCCGGGAGAGATTGCGCTTCCGCTGGACTCAGTGAAGATTGAAATTGACGCGTGCGTAACGTAAGCTGTGCAGCCCATATTAAAAGAACTGGCTCGTCTGCTTCCGCTTGGGCCCTAAGGCGAATGTCACCGTCGAACAGACTTATTATCTGGTACAGTACCAGCGCCTGCAGCGCTTCGAGTAGGTTCATCTTGGGGGAAACGAGCGGATCGATACTGGAGATCAGCTGTTTCCGCTTGTGCTCCAAGTTGCGGAACACTAGCGTCTGATTCTCCGTGTTTTTTAAGCAGTACAGAGCGCAAGCGCTGAGCGCATCCTGTAAAGCCGGAGGGCTTCTCTCCTGGAACAAGTGACGGTGGATAAACATCGTTTGCCCTTGCTGGGAAAATATCTTTGGGATCGCAGCTAATTTCTTTGCTGCGAATTCCACACGAGCCTGTGTAGTTGTACCCGAGGTGAGCCGCTCGATATCGTTTGGGGGTTGCTGAGTGACGGCATCTTCAAAGACAGTAGAGCCGATGAAATCATCTTGCGGTATGCTCCCCAGGTTGAATGGATCATTAGCGAAGTTGAAGAATATATCATTTGAGTAGGGCGAGAGTGTTGCTGCGGTCGGTCGCGCGGGACTTCGCTGCAGTTGCCAACCTCTCGATGGTTCCTCCGCAACGGGCTCCACAAAGGCAACGTTTCCGTCCACATTTCTTTCAGTAGTTTGCCGCCGTTGGCCGGGATATCGGGGGTTGTATTCGCAATCAATGTTCTTTGCCAGGCAGCGTTGGCATTTGGGTAACCCTTTGTCGCATTTTCGTTTGGACTGAACACATGCAAGACAAGACTTGCGGTATGACGGGGGCATCCTAGCACATGCGATTCATTAAGGCTATGGTGAGCCCTAGAGGTTACCACTGTAGGTTGTCTCTGAGATCGATGAAATCCGCATGGCTCCGCTGACCCACACAGCCTACCACTTGTGATTGGCGAGTGATGTGGGGCGATTGATAAGGTTGCGGAGTTTCATGCGGAACTTCCTCCGCTAGCGGACTTTGGCAGAGTAGCAGCACAGCGGGAGAGATCTGGTGTCCGCAAGACCTGTTGGTTATCATGGATTAGGTTCGACACCTGACGGGTTACCCTATCAATCTTCGTCTACATCCGCATATCCACTTTTAAATACGCAGTTCGAGTCGGAGATATTATGGAGGGCCATATCTATAAAGACTGCCACAGCTTCTCCTGGCTACCATCTTGTCCGGCACTGAAATCCCATCTCCAATTTTTTCACCTTCAAATCTCCTGCTTCAACCAAGATTATTTCCTATTTTCTACCACTTTGCATATTCTCTACCTAGCGTCGAATCAAATATGCCTACCACTGTTCTGATCACAGGCGGAAACCGCGGTATGCTTGTTTGCCCCCTCCTTCTGGTGCCCTGCTCATTTTTTCACAGGTCTTGGCAAAGGGCTCGCAGCTACTTACCTATCTACCCCAGACACCACAGTGATAGCGACGGTCCGCGACCCATCCAAGTCCGAGTCTCTTTCTGCTCTTCCTAAGGCCTCGGGATCCAGCCTACTTGTTGTCAAGCTCGAAATAACATCTACGGACACCATAACCGCGGCTATAGACACGTTGAAGATGCACAATATTGGTGCTCTCGACATTGTCATTGCAAATGCCGGCATCTCTGGGCCGACCCACAGTCTAGCTGAAGCACCCGTCTCTGAGCTCCAAAAGTACATTGATGTGAATGCATACGGCCCCTTTGAGCTAGTAAAAGCTGTGTTCCCTCTGCTACGACCTTCCAGTCCGGGGAAAAAGGCAAAATTTGTCTACATCTCGAGCGCCGGCGGAAGTTTGGCGGCCATGTACAACTTCAGTACGTGATGCCCTAGTACCAAGTCGGTACAGGTCGTGTCTGATTGACTCTGTCTGAGATGGAATGCTGACTTTCCACCTCACATTAAGTGCCTATCTCCGCATACGGGGCGAGCAAGGCTCTAGCTAATTTCCTTTTCAAATGGCTGGCGCTGGATAATAAGGATGTGATTATTTGGGCACAAAATCCTGGGTACGTATTTTCATCTTCAAATATCACCTCTTGAATGGTGCTAATTACGTTCTGCGGATAGAAACGTGGATACCGATATGGCTCGGGATGGTCTAGATCTCGCAAAGGGTTTAGGATTCGATCTGTCTTCACTGTCGTTCACCTCTCCCGAAGAAAGTGCGCGTGCGATAAAGAAAGTGGTATGTGTGCTCGGGTGCAGACAGAGATGCGGATGTGATTAAAGTGGCTGACTACGAATTCCGCAGATTGACGGTGCGACTCCGGAGATGAGTGGGAAGTTCCTCGACCACGATGGCTCTGAGTTGGCATGGTAGAAGATGAACTGATAAGTTGGGAGGTCTTGCCCAAAACCTACGTCTTTCACCATCTACACCGACAGCGACAATATAGTTGCCCTTCTCAAATATAGTGCCAAATCACATAGCCTGTAACTAGTTTCAACAACTACTCAGCAATCTCGCCACACATTCTACCGTGCACCTTGACGTCTCTGTAGAATTCTCTCCGTATAGTGATCCATGTCTAAGCTAGATGTTGGATTAAAACTTCTGAGGCAGCGGCCTGAGGAGCTTGGGGATATGGCTCGTCGAGCTGATCTACCTAAAAAGACCACTAAAAAGACATATAAAAAGACTATCGGAGTATACTACCTAAGAAGACCACTAAGAAGACTATGGCTGTATAAGCTCCCGAATATTTATTCTTATAGTAAAAATGGAGGCGGTATATAAGGCGGTATATCTTATGTAGGTATAAGGTCGGAGGTCCCACTATATAATATAATGTATAGAGCGGTCTCAAAAGCGGCCTAGAATCAGACATAAACCAGGCATTTAGAAAAGTCAGGTATTTGACCTTTGGCCGTTATGCCCCTTCGCACCCGCACAGCGGGATGACCCCCCCGCCCCCGCCTGCCAACTGGCTGACCATCGTTGAGCGTCTGGTCGAGCGGTGGGGTTGGGCCCATACCATTGCCCTCCTCGCCGTCATCCTCGTCTTCTCTTAGGTCTGGCGGCTGTCGCATAGCCGGATTGATCTCTGCAGTATCGCCAACAGCGGTATGATAAACTACACTACTATATATACAATACAATTTATACATTATGTCATTACAAAGCCTCATGTGTTGCTCCATGCTTGGGTTACAGTATATGCTGACTCACACTATAGCGCCGCCGATATTGAGACCGGGATTGAGCTTCAGGATGCTGAGCCTGCCCGCCCTCCTGGTGCCCGTCCCCGTGGCCGTCGCCCTCTCGCCAGACCCGCTGGGTTTCTGGCCCAGCTAGCAATACCCGGTCCAGGACCTCCAACGCTGCCGCCGCTCCCGCCGCCCAGACCTAGTTGTAAGTCACAATCCATTGAAATCCTCGAGAAGAGTAGATATTTGCCTCGAGATTCTTATATTCCCATCCTTTGTACTGCCGAGGCAGAGAATCTTTCAGATTCGCCGCTTTTTATGCCTTCTTGATGATCTCGGAATGATTCTCGAACACTGCTGACATGATTAATATCAACTTTAGGAGCTTCACCGGGCTAGAGGGCTCTCCTTTTCTCTCTTGATTTTTTCTTTTTCTTACACAAGAAAAAAAAAAACTGGACCTCGGCCCCAACCCCAGGTTTTGTCTATATATTGGTGTATATCTTATTATTTGTTTTTGTTGTTTGTTTTTGTTGTTTTCAATCAAGCCTCGGAAGTGAACCTGTGCATTTATATTTATTTTATATTTATTAATTACCTTTGACGTTGCAACTTTGCCCTCAATCTGGGGCCATTTTCTTCACGTAAATTGGTAGCCAGTATCTCTGAACTCGGGGTAGATCCGATGGGGGAGGAGGTAGACTCCGGGACGAATTGGATGCATATACCATAAAGGATTGGATCTCCATAACTCGAATGCCCGTTGTAAGGGCCCGGAATTACCAATGATCCAACCACGGGTATACCCACCAGGCTCGTGTGAGCATCCAATTCTCTTGGTAGAGTGTGCTCATCTCGTCCTCAAAGCTTGGAACGCCAATGCCCCAGAAACTCGGATTATTCTTCATCGTGTGCCGTAAAATAATCTCCGCTTGACAATTCTTCCGCAGCCTAAGTACCTTTTGTATATAGTTGCCATACAAAAGATACCTAAAATTGCAAATCTGGGATCTGGTGAAAAAAACGGGATCTGGTGGTGCACACCAACACCAGGTAGTGTGTTGGTGGGCTTGACACGATTATAGGGAGAACCTTACTACCTCTCACCACATCTCACTACCTTGCACATATGATTTAGAAATTTCAAATAGTAGCGATGGCTTAAAATTATGCCTAGACCATCTTACATTGAAAGAGGCAGAAACTACCGAAATTGAGGGTTTCGCATTGATCCTTATAAGCTTGTGTATGCACTGTCTTGGGCTAGACAGGAGTAAAAAGAGCGGCTTCTATCTAGTCGCGTATATGACACATTTCCAGCGATGGGATGCGATACATACCAGACTTTTATGGTTGCCATACGATTTCAATGAGGGAAAGTCGGGAGTTTTCAGGGTACCTGACATCCGTGACCTTGAAACGCTGGTCTGACTGGGTAATGACTTGTTTCCATTCGTCGACGTCACGAAGCTGCAATCAAGATTCCCAGGTTAGAATGGAGACAATCGTGTTGGTCTATCTGGGTATGTATACCTTGGAGTTGAAAAGGGCCAACAAGGCGAAATCAATGTGTCTGAAATATTCGCGATCAGCATTGTCAAATGGAAAGGGTGCAATGAGTCCTGTGGCTTACCGTTGATATCGCTCGACGCTCAAAGGCGATGTACCAGCCGGAGGCATGATCTGATCAAATATGATGACCTTGGCACCAGGCTTCAGCGCCGGGATCAAAGCTCTTAGCATGCGTTGGGCATGAAAGTCGGGCCAGTCAAGCAGAATCCAGCGGAACATATATCTGGGATCAACCAGTTTAACAATTAGCACGGGATTCAGAGAAATGATATGTCGGCTTTCACATACACGTCAGCGTCCTTGACAGGCTGCTCGTTGAAAAAGTCATGAGGAATAAATGACACGTTCTTGCCCTCTTGAACTCGTGCACCTTCAACTGCCCCGGGCAAGTCCTGGACCACGATCTCCAGTTCTGGGAACTTGTCGGCCAGCGCAAAGGCCACTGTGCCTTCGGATCCGCCCAGATCGACGACTTTACCTCTCTGCAAATCATTCGGCCAGCTGTCGATAAAGTGTCGAGTTGCGTACGCCTCATCTTTTCGGACTGCCTCCATGGCTCTTGCAAAGTGTCGAGCCTTCTCTGGATGCTTCTCTAAGTACATGTACATGCCAGGCTCGCCGTCGCCTTTGGTGACCATGAAGCCGCTTTTGGCGGGATTGCTGCCTGTCGGTTCTTCCCTCAAGGCTTTGCTCAGCCCAGCACCAGCGGGAAGCATGAGGTCGGTGCACAGGCCAGACCACTCTGAGATCAATGGTTCTCGCGCTATGACCTTCGTCGTCGCCGTATGCGCCACATGGCCCGGTCGTGGCTCGTAGAACATGTGGTAGGGCATACCCGCCCGCAGGACCTGACGTAGAACGGACGCAGCAACGTTGACAATCTTTGAGAGATCGTCATACGATATATCGCCTGTAAGAGGCACCTGACGGGCAATATCAAAGTCGCAGATGAACTGGGACACGCCAAACGTGGTCATGGAGGCCCATCCAGGTATGAGACGAAGTTCGACTGGACCCGTCGCCAGGTCGCCCAATTCCATGCTAGCATCGATAACGGCCCGTCGACATCTTTCGACCTTTGGTGGATATTTCACATCAAGCGGTTCGTCAGGGCCCAAACCGAGGGCGGTAATCCTTGTTCCTGACGATATGCCTCAATTTCGTCAGTGTTGTCAGTGATTATCTTCGCCAAGTGGGCGGATCGACTCTTATTAAAGGCCATATTATTACTGCAGTGCTTAAAGGCAGGCAAATTCTGTCCAGCTCATACTGCGGAGAGGCTCTGGATATAATTTATATGAGACGTCTCCCATGGGAGTGATACGTTACGTCATGGAGGGAGTTGAATAAGTCGAGCCAACTCAATTCATAATACTCTGCCGATGCATATAAGCACCGCGTGATTACGAGCTTGCGAGCAACTCATGGCTAGGCCACGCAAGATGATGAGTCCCGGGTCTTGATGAGCCCCGCATCTTGGAACACAGCTACTTCCAGAAATGTGACAAACTGGTCTTTGAGCGGGTTATTTACGGCTAGATGTGTGCTACCGACTAGGGTATATAACGTAATAGGAATATCGCGCGGGCAGAGAGTACTCTGCAGGACTAGTCAATCTGGAACTGTATCAGGTATCAGGTTACGCATAGTGATTTAAGTGACAAGACTGTACGAATGATAAACAGAAATAACCATACCCCCACACACCAACTAATTAGTTACGAAGACGGCACTTTATAATTTTCAAGTCTCTCTCGCTCCTTCCACATGTACTATCGTTGCAGCTTTGTATGTCCAGGTGAATTTTACAGTGAGTTGTTTACATGGCCCATCTCACCGTTCCACAACGTGAGCTCCTACCATAATCGGCCTGTAAGGCGAGGATGAAGGGCCTCGGATTTAGATCAAAATTCCGTTAGCAGTAATAAAAATTTTACCAAATAGAGCTAGCAGCTAGATAAGGGATCCCTAATAATGACTATGCTAAGGCTTCAATGTTGGCATCAAAGACATGTGGAGAGATACAAGCCCGATTATTTTGACTTTTCAAATAGGCTTTTAGCCATGAACAGAGTGACATGATTCATGGGAAAACATGCTAATCAAATACTAGCTAGGCTCAGTTTGGATAGTGTGCATATTTAGCTCAGCCGTTGGGCTGACCTATGCTGACACGCAGCTTATGTCCCGTATTTGTAAAGCCACCAAATCCCGAGGTCACCCTAAATAAAACTGAAACGAACCTGCAGCCTTAGAGTATTTTACGGCCTACCGAGCCGACGGGTTGAACCGAGGCTTGTGGCACAATTTCCAGTTAATTTCGAGTTCTCCTTATGTCTTGACTTGTGGACTCCTTGCAGGTATTTTGTGGTGGCTCATCGTGTAAGCTTAATCCTTGCCAAAAAAGTACATCCGATTGCGCTACCGGACAAGTCAATGTTTCATTGACCAACTTCTACAGTCATTGAGTACCTACGCAGTAGGTGGTCCTTATTGATGGAATAAAATATGGCAATATTCCACTAGACCACCACCAAAACCAAGGTTCCTGTTGAGGGCCTAGGAATGCCCATATCCCAGTTTGACGCTTAATAACTAGTATATTCTAAGCAATAACAGCCCATTCGCTCCAACTCAACCAGTGAACCTTCGAAGCTATCAGCGAGTCTAATTTAATTATAAATATAAAAGAGTAAAGAAAAAGTCGTTGCATTAGATTATATCTCAAGACGAATCCTGAGACCAAGCAATGGCGGAACTTCATCTATACCATCCCACCAGGGTAAAACTACTGCACACTAACCTCCAACACTGGGGCAAAGGGGGCAAAAAATGAAGTCTTCAATGCTCTGTCACGATTTCATAATCTCACAAATCTGTAATGTGGCCATTCCCTCATAATCCCTGTCATAGTCTAGCCGTTTGTGTGCGCCAAGACATTCATAGATACCTCAAGCACTGACAGCAGACACCACCTACCACAGACAGCACGAGAAAAGAGGCAATAAAAAAAACGCCATAAGCATATCGAGATCTTTTCAAATACTTTGTCATGATTATGAGACCATGAGAAGAATCAGGACCTTCAGTCCAGGAGCACCAGCTACCCTCAGCCTCGGGGTATAAAAGGAAGTTAATCGCCAAGTCTAAAGATATATCCAAACACATCAGAGAACCATAGTACCTTGTCCATCTATTTACAAAACCATCAGCTTCAGGATGTTCATCTCCACCGGAATCAAAGCAGTCCTACTGCTAGCAGCATCCGTTCCCGCCCAAGCATGGAACAGATTGGACAAGGACAACGCAGTGAGTCAACAACAAAAGTCCAGAGCAAAAGAAAAACAAATCTAAGAACCCAGGCCCTCCTCATCATCGACCACCAAGTCGGCCTCGCCCAAGTCGTGCGTGATTACAACACAAACGACTTCCGCAACAACATCCTCGGCCACGCTGCCCTCGGCAACGTCTTCAACCTACCAACCGTGCTAACCACCTCCTCCGACGCAGGTCCTAACGGCCTCATGCTCAAGGAAATCACTGATATGCACCCCAACGCGACCTTTGTCCGTCGCCAGGGTGAGGTCAATGCTTGGGATAATGCGGATTTCCGCGCCGCGGTTGAGGCTACGGGGAAGAAGCAGCTGATTATTGCGGGTATTGTGACTGAAGTTTGTAAGTGGAGTTGGTCGAGAGAAAGGAGAAACAGATACTGATATTCCAGCCAGGTACTTCCTTCCTCGCTCTCTCCCTTGTTGATGCTGGGTACGAAGTCTTCGCCAATACCGATGCGAGCGGCACTTTCGATGCTAGGCTTGCTGAGGATGCGAATCGTCGTATGGAGAGGGCTGGTGTTACGCTCATGGGCTTGTTTGGTATTGTCTGTGATCTTATGCGCGATTGGCGGAAGACGCCTGGTCTCGCTGAGGTCCTGCCATTCCTTGATAAGTGAGTTCCTGCGTGTTATTGATTCTGCTGTTGTGTCAAGGTTTCTAACTGGTGTTTCCTCTGAGCAGGTACCAGTTTGGTTATGGTCTTGTTGCCCGTCACCATGCTGGAGCTATTCAGAATGGTACCTTCTTCCCTGTTGAGGGGACTTTGATTTGAGTCTGTGGGGGTTTTAGATTGGTCGGGCTGGGAGAGGTGAAGAGGTGAAGAGGTGAAGAGGTGAAGAGGTGAAGAGGTGAAGGGGTGAAGGGGTGAAGAGGTGAAGAGGTGAAGAGGTGAAGAGGTGAAGAGGTGAAGAGGTGAAGAGGTGAAGAGGTGAAAGGTAGAGGAAGAAAACTGGAGAAGTGGAGAGAAATGGGGTCTTGAAATAGAAAAACAAAAAAAGAGGTCTTGTTGATTGGGTATATAGCCTTCTTGTGAAGATACCTAGGTAGTGTTGAATCCAATTATCAAGACAAGAGTATTCGGCCTCACTCCTTAACGTAGGACTGATAATAACGAGCATAATCACTCAAGACGATGATGCTCACGGACATGATGGCTACAAATGACACGGTCATGACAATCGGTGACCACCCCGGTACCCCAGTATAGGCTGTTCGCGACAGGGCGCAGTGTCCTCAGAATTAATCCGGGCAATACGACACTTTTATCGCAGCGGGCTAGTACCGCGGTTTATGAACAACTCAGCGCCACGGTCAATTTGGACGGGGCATTGGTCATGCTTGACACGCATGACAATGTTGTTCGGCCACGATAGGAATCCAAGAAGCAAAAAATATATGCAGATGCAGATTGAAACGGTCGAAATCCGATCCGTTTAGAAATATATACATAAAGACAAAGGCTATGAACAACATTGAAGTACTTGGGCATGGGTATCGGCAATGCAATATCTGCAAGGAAGATATGAAGAATTGGAGGCAGGTGACAGTGCCCGTATAAAGTCTGGAGCTCTAGAGCTGGTCTAGAGCCATACACATACACCCCAGATGGAGCAATGTAGCGGTATGCGATAGTTGGCGACGTAGGTGGAGACGATCGAGACGAAGAGAAAATAAACATCGCAAATCCGGCGTGTGCTCGATGCAATGGAACCAAGAGACAAGCAAAAAGGGCAAAAAGGAGAAAGCAACACAACCGCAAATAGGATATACCCGCTTCAAATAATGCTAGCAATCGTCATGCGTGAATGCGCCGAACTCGACCTTTCAGAAGCCGATTCCGGCGGAAGAGTAGAAGAAGACGGCTCCAGCTTCGGCTGTCCCATGGCGACATCCCGCTGCGCATAAGACATCTGTTGTTGCTGATGCTGCTCGGTAAAGAGATCTTGCACAGTCTTCTCGATCCACTCCCACCCCGCCCACTCCGCGTCCGTCTCCGTCTCCGTCTCCGTCGGACGGCTCGACGGTGTCGGTGTCGAGATCCCCATCCCCTCCAATTGGGACCCCATCTCGGACCCGTGCCATACCCAGCTGCCGTCGCTGGTCCCTTGCATATCGCCCGAGACGTATGCCATCATTTCTTCGTCGCGGTCGAGGTCTGGAAGGTGACCTTCCGTTGAACGGATGCGGGCAAGGAGACGTCTTATGAAGAAGGCGAGGTATCGCCCGCAGGCTGCGTTCACGGTGCGCACGTCGCCGATTGATGAGAGCGCCTGTACGCATGCGAGTGCGGCGGCGTATTCGCCGCGGAAGAGGAGGAGGAGCGTGCAGCGCCAGATGTGCGTGCAGAGGAGGGAGCTTGCGCAGGAGGCGAAGTGGGAGCGGGGATCGTTGATGGATGGTGGTGCTGGGTGTGTTGGGTAGTTGCGCATGCAGCGGGAGAGAATGTTTGCTGTGTCGAGGGCTGTGGAGACGCAGTAGTCCATTGCTGAGGTGCGGACGATATCTGGACAGAAGGGGGAGATGTTGTGGCGGTGGAGGAGGAGGCGGGCGTTTTGGAGATAGATTACCGGGGCGAGGGAGCGGGGGTCGAGGTCTTGGTCGGTTTTGGGGTGGAATTGAGAGGGGAATGTTGCGAGGCAGGTGTTGAAGTGGAGTTCGAAGGTCTCGAGGGTGGCGGGGCTGATGGTTGCTGAGCGTAGGGTGCG